AGTGGCATTTTTGCAAATAAACACCCTTAAATGGTATTTTTGCAAATGTGCACATAAAAAGTGACATTTTTGTAATTTTTCCTTAAAATAAACATGAGAGGTTATGTTAGAATTCTCTTTATTCTAATGATTATTCATTTTTCCCGCATGTTAGTTTTGGAAAGAGACTTGTAAACTGTTGGGATTTTATTAATTAACGGGTATAGTTTAATAATATATATTGTCACAATTAGCAAATATCAATATATATAAAAAAATATGAATCCCAAAATATAAGCAAAAAAGCATATTTTCAAATATACACTTCAGTAAAATAATATCATATATGTTTCAGAAAACATATTCAACTCTTGTAAATCAAGGTTTTATGTACAATAACTTTTGGGAAATTGACTAATTATTTAGATCGAAAAATTAAAATAGTTAAATCACTTTAATTAAAACCCAAAACAGATGCATCTTTTTGATAAAGATGCAACTTTTGGCCGAGAAGACGATTGAGTAGTCGGTGATGAATGCCGTTAATTTCTTCTAGTCGCCCTAATGCATCCTGAGATCATTGGATATGTATTATTGTTAATCTACGTCATTGAATAGGTCATGTTTGCCTTCTTATGTATAAACTTTTTAATTAATCCAAGGACATTTTCACCATTATATTTTGTAATTATTTCTCAATATTAATAAAAACCTGCAAAATATTATAAGTGATGTATTTTACCACTCCCCTATATTTGACATAGTGGTTTTATTGGAGAGAGACTCCGCCTACACTGTCTCTTACTCTGTCTAAATCTTTTTTCTGCCATGATTCTTATGTAAATTTTTCTCTAATGATTTCCATTATGACATCTATCCCAAGATCATCAAGATTTGATTTAAAACCACAAACACTTTTTTTATAGAATAAAAAAGACTAACCTTGATCCATTGCTTGATTAGGCATGTAATGGAATCAATTCATCAATTGACTTTCTCCTCCTTTGGCCTGTCCCTTAGTGATCCTTTTGATACAGAAGAATCGAACCCCTTTCTCTTTGGTTATTCCTTTCTCAATATGAATGTTATTATGTGATGATGTTTTTGCATGCCCTAAACACTCTCACGGCACTTCTATTTATTTGTTTAATAGGTTGTAACTTTTCACACAACACAAAACAAATAGCAACCATTCGTTTATAACCACCGCATATATTTATATCACATAATGTTGAGATGTGGCCGTAATGATCAATTCAACACAAGAAGAAGAAGTGAAAGACTCTACTGGAAGTAGAGGGTTTGATGATTAATGAGATTGTT